CCCCAAAACCCCAAAACCCCAAAACCCCAAAACCCCAAAATTTAAGGAGTTTCTAAATTATAAAATCTAGATTTAATGGGAAATTCTAATACAAGGAGAACCAATTGCCTTAAGTATGACAGAATGAAACTTGCCACAGTTAGGAAAACTAATAGCCCTAACTCTGAAGTCTTTGACTTGTTTGTGTCATATGAAAAGGACAAAACTTGCAATGAATTAGGACTAGATTTTAAGGAAATTTTCACCCTTCCTAAGAACATGCACCACCAGAATACAGCATTTGCTGGGACCGGGATCCAGATTGAATGTGACTTTCTGATAAATTTCGAATCATTTTTAACTGTAAGATTAAGCTTCTTTAAAATTTCCGCTTGCTATCTAATCAGAGCTTGAGATAACTTTATTGTATAGGTAACAAGAGAAATTCCAGAATTTGATTCATTAGCTGAGATAACCCGATCACTTGATCAAGATGAAATTTTTCCTGACACTCCTCAGGAGGTAAGACATTTTTAGGTCTTATTATAGTTATAGCTGAAATTAGTGCTAATTCATTCTAATCTCAAGCAAGAAGTTTTTTATTTTGATGTTATTGAGGAACTAATCAGGACAGAAACAGTATTGACTAGCCTAAATAAATTTAAAGATAGACATCTCGCTGTACTCGTGAATCCAATCTCGGGGAAACAAAGAGGGAGGAGATATTATAGGGATATTCTTGCTCCCACTCTCAACATAACAGGAATCAAGCATAACCACTTTGAAACAGACTCTGAGACATACATTGAGACATGGGTTGATCAGTTTAGCAACAAACCATTCCCATACACTGATATTATTTTAATCGGAGGAGATGGGCTTTTTAGCCAGCTGATCAACTCAATTTTAAACAATCCGGATTGCCAAGATATCATAAAGACTCCTATTGGGTTGCTCCCTGCTGGATCCCAGAACGCTACTTGCTGTGACTTGAAAGGCAAGGATGTATACCAAGCATGCAGGAATATTGTTAGGAGACCTACCATCCAGTCAGATATAATGAAAATTCAATTTTCGGACATGGATTCTCCATTATATGCGACAGTCATTTTATGGGGGGTCCTTGGAGATGTAGTAAAATAATGCTGAAAAGCTCAGGAAATATTTTAAATCTGCCAGATATACTGTCTCTGCAGCAAAAATGATGCTGTCTTCCTGCAGAATGAAGACATATAAGTGAAGCATTAAGTTTAGGAGTGATTTCATTACGGCTGAAGACTCCGGTGAGAATCTTCCTAAAGCTGAAGAAACTAAAGAAAATGATGTAATAGAGGGCACTTCATTTACCCAAAACGAATCCAATAAAATTGAAGAAAAATCTTGGAATGAACATCCAGATTCTGATCTATCTTTTCTTGGGCTAGTAACTCATGAATGTAGAAGCTCTTTAAGCAAGAAAGAAAGGTTTATGCCTCCTAGTAGGTTCAACGATGGAAAAATAAGCCTTGCAACTTTAAGGAAATGCGGGAAGATCAAACTTATCCATTTCATGAAAAAGTTCTCGAAGGCTAAGCATCTTGATTTTGAGAAATTTAATGGGATTGAAGTCTCTGAAGTGCAGATCTCACCTGGCACAAGATCTTGGTTCAATATTGATGGAGAAATCTATGAAAATGATAAAGCTAATATTAAGCTCTTACCTTCCTTTCTTACAATGATTGGAAGTGTCTATGATAAATAATATAGTTTAAAAATTTAGTAGTATATCATAAATCTTTTCAAGTCATAAAACAAGAATAGGGGTTTTGGGGTTTTGGGGTTTTGGGGTTTTGGGG